TCTCCCGTTGCGGGGGACATGACGATGACCCCTAGATTTCTCGATGCCACCGCATCGGGGTAGGGTGATCCGATCCCTTCGACACTGATATGGGTGAGTGGGAACGGAGCCGCCAGCTGTACCATACTCAGCACTCAGCCTCCCTCCGCTCGAGCAGGGGTTGTCAAGTATTCTTGGTTTGAGAAGCCATTCCGGATCTAGGCCAACCTTGGCGTAGGAGCGCAGATGACCCCAGAAGGAGGTGGATCAGTATGCGCGGGGCCTTTCAATCATGTTCCTCTTCAGGACGACCTCTCTTCGCCGACAAGGCGAACACCGTGCCTCTATGCCTGTTGAGCGCACTGGGATGTCAGGGCGGATCCGCCATTAATGACTGGGGTGGCGCTGGCCTTGGCCGCTTTGTTGTTACATGAGCTCTTTTCCCACCTCAGCGGACAGCTTCCGTCCGGCGACTACTTGGCGAGCTTGGGAGGTAACATCTGTCTTCCCCTTTTATATTTCTGCTTCCACGGTTTTTCTGTATCTGTACCTGCCACACACCGACGGGTCTGCGCTCTCACTGACTATAACTGCCACTTGCGGCGACCAGCTGATACTTGTGCTTAAACTTTGACTGTATACTGCAACACACTGTATCTCCTTGTACAATACACTGCACAACACACGCTTCTACCATTTCTATTTGTTCTGTATTTTGTTTGATATGATAGTCGTACTTATATCTGTCCCTGCAGTTTGGGTGTATGCCTACTTTCGCCCAGGCTTGCCCCAAGTACCTGATGTGGAGACCCCACTCGGTGTCCCCTTTTCTCATGCGCTTTGACGTGCGATGCGTGCGGAGGCCACGGGCGGTCTTCTTTTTCTTCCCACCGCTACTTCGCCACCATCACCAGCTGGCGGAGGTATGTTCATGTCTAGAATTTGCTTAAGCTTCGCTTTAGCACTATAATGTTTTCAAATAACAGTAGATAAACCAATTGCATTTTCATTTCAAATCCCCTGGCAGCCCTGGGCCCCGTTGCCAGCCGTGGTGAGGGACACTATGAGGCCGCAGGGAGACTGCCCGTTTGCCGGATTCCTGTTGGAGGGCCCGGTCTGTCGGGCTTGTACCTGGGTTCGCATTTCTTCTTGCGTCAGACCCTGGGTTTACCAGAGCAGATAGTTCCGGGTCCGCCTTCCACACAATAATGAGGCATACAAAGAGGGGTTCTCTTTTGGAGCAGATGAGGGACTACACCCGTCGGCTGGGGTGCAGAGCACACAAAGAGCCGAGGGTGACTACACGGCCGTACGTCCGAACTACATTAAAATGGCGACCCTTGAGCGGCAGTCGCTGAGTTGAGGGAGAGAGGCCAGCGGTGCTGGCAGCTGGAGCGCGAGCGGGGACGGAGCAGGAACGTCGAGGAGAGCTCGAGTCCGCGGCAGGGGGTGGAGTTCAGAGAGGGCGGAGGACCAGCTGGCCTGCTCTGCCCACTTTACTGACCTACAGAGGGCAGGATGGGGCGACCTAACCAGAACCCCTTTGCTCCTCCCCCGGCTGGTCATGAGTTAGCCGTTCCCGACTTGCCTTCCGGTATGTATTACTTCATTTTGCATCTTGCTTGGTAATTTCTCATTTCAGTTTATTTGATATTCCACAGCCATACTGATACATCTTGTACTCTTTGCAGAGCGTCCTCGCGAGTACACCCGGCGTCCCGTGGAGTTGGAATGCCCTCCATGATGGGGATGGCTACAAGCAAACCTTTCGATCTCCTGTTCCTCTATAGTATTCCGGTATGTCCTTCTGAACGACGGTCTCAAACCAATTCATAAGCGCGTGATTCACGTAGTATTTCTGATGCATCGACACAAACACCTGACACACTGACTGACAGCATCTGTAACACTGGCTACACTGCATTTATAACCAAATGTATTCTGCCACTAATAAAACTGCTCACTAGTATTCAATACATTGTACAGTTTGTATTCCACTGGATACGAGTCGGCCTGCTCACAGTCTTTCTGATTGTATTGCCTTTTATGCTTTTCCAGCCTCCCTTCCAGATTTCTTTTTTTAACTGAAAATAATTATACACATTTGTTTATTACATATATATGTATACATACATATATATATATATATACATATATTTACATTCGAGGCCAGAGTGGATTATGCAACACTCAGACAAGACTCAAAATAAAATAAAAAAACAAAATTTGAAAAAGAAAATATACTTTGAGCTGAGGTTTGGATTGATGATCAATAGGGACCCCAACAGCAGCTCAAGTACATGACTTTCCTCACAGACTCCTCCGACTGCTTTGCCTTCTTCTCTCCCCTCACTTTTCTCGAAACAACGGCGGAGGACCTCAGGCTGGTCTTGCCGTGCTGCTGCATCGACCTTACGGTGTAGTTCCACCTACAGAATCCCTGATCTTTCAGTGCCTCCACTGCTCCAACACTCGCCGCCACTATCCAGGCTCTGCTTGTGGAACTCATCTCTTCTTTCAGAGATTTAAAGTAGCTTTTTGCTATAAAGTAGATGATGGTTATTAAACTATGGAAGTGTTCTATATAAGCAATGTGTATATATAGATGATGTGAGTGAAAAACCAGAGGCGTGTCGCTCATTTTACAGGTGGTATTAGACTTCGGAAGCAACTGGTTTTTTTCTGAGCAAAATTTTGGTCTTGTAATTATTATTATTATTATTTTTTTGTCTCAATTTGGCTTCTGTAGTTCCAGTTTTTATTTATTTTGATATTTAATTTTTTATATTGTGTAAATTTAATTTAATTCATAATATTTATTAAAAAATTAAATAAAAATGCAAAGACGAAATGATCAATTCAGACAGGAATGAACAATTTTAAATTAGATTTCAATCTTTAATTATTTTTTCTCATAATTTTCATTCAATATGAAAAATTTTATAATACTCATTCTAAAAAATTTGTGTATCATATACTTTGTTATGAGTACAATAATATGTAGTTAAGAGGCATTAAAATTGTAGAATCAATATTTTTTCTTGTTTTGCTTTGGGTAATATAATGTCGGTTATATTTGTTGGAGAAAAATGGTTGAATAAGAAATTGCCTCATAAATGTGTATATAACTCACACATTTAAGGCTCATCAGTTTTACAAAATTGATTGGGCAATTTTGCTAGCATTAGTTGTCAGCCTTGATGGCTAGAGGCTCCTCCCTTCTCCCCCATGGCGTATAAAAGGAGGCCCTATTCCTTGAAAAGAGATATAGAATTTTTCCTTGACATCCATACACTGTCAGTCTACTTCTCCTATAATTTTCTTCCTGAGAGAGAGTGCTACCGTTGTCCGTTCGCTAAGTTAATTAGAAGGTGCTTTTGTTGTAGCTGGTAAAAACCGTCGTATCCTGGGAAGTAGACGTCGGCGTACCTCCAGCACCCAACGATGAGGCGACGAATCTATTTTAAGGAGACTGTGGTATCACACAGGTTTCGGTTTGATTCCTTTAATCATTTTATATTTTATCTGTATTTTATTTAGCATGTTATTTTTTCTGGGATTGAAGGTTTGTTTTGTTCATCTCATAATTTTGCGATATACAATGTGAAATTATGTAATGTGAGTAGTTTTTCCCAACAAGCTTAAAATAGATTCGACATTTATCATAGAATTAGATTAATAGATTCATAGGTATGTGTAATAATTTTGCATGTAATTGGCCACTGGTAGTACTAGCGAGTTAATTGGTTTATTAGATGCATGTACACAGGGTTAAGCTTTTGATTTTGCCATTTTGTGTATGCTACTGTTTGGTCTTCCCATGGCATGGAATAGGCCACTATTATCAATAGGGAAGAAGAGTTCTATTGGTGCAATGTTAATTCATTGTATCTTCTAATTAATTTATTAATTTATGGTGTACCGGTTCATGCCTTGTATTTCTAGATTTACATGCTTCTAGTTCACATGCTTCTAGTTTACAATATAAATTACATGTTCATTCGGGTTTAATTTTTAGTGTAATTTACATTTCTAGCATGTTTATTAGGTAGTAAATTTTCATGTAACTTATACCTATTAATCTTTAATTTAGGTGTGGAGTTGTAAAGTTTATAACTTGTCTATATTTAAATTCATGTTAATTTCTCTAGAATTATTTGCATGTTAATCATGTCATTTGCAATTCTTGCCTAGTAATGTGATTTAAGTATTTAGGAGTTATAAAATGTTTGCAACTTGCCTCAATTAATTACATGTTTAGTGTACCACAAGTTCATATGTAACCTTCACCAATTTAAAATATGGTTTAATTATATTTAATTTAGGTCTGTAACTTATATAGTTAATTACATGTTTATTATGTAATTAATTTTTTACAAGTTTTTGTAGTTTAAATTCTAGATGTGTAATTTAAGGGTTGGTTTTAATCTTTACTTACAGTTATTTTTTAGTTTGTTAGCTAGTACCCTCCCCTTCAATCACTACTTTGCCAAAAGCAAAGAAAAGGTGAGGGAGGTTTTGTTATATTTTGCTGCTAACTCTTTATTGCAGGAATACCTATGGAAATGGGAAAAATGATTAATTTGGACTAAATATTTGAAGCAATTCTTTGCTTGAGTGTTCATTTGTGGTTATTCACCAATATGTAAAGCACGTTTTATTTGCTTGTAATTATTGTAGCAATTTTGTTGTAATTGCTTGTACAGTTTGGAACTTGGTGCGTTTAACCTAGTTCATCCCTTTGAAAATTTAATTTTTAAAGTTGTTTACCATGGACTAGAAGTCAACATGCTCTTGAAAGTTTTGTCTAAGGTTAACTGGGTTTTAAGTGGGACCGGTGTGACCCCTCCAGTCTTCCTGGAAACTTTCCTGACCATGTTCGATTCTAGGTTGCGTGGTGAGACTAGTTTTGAATTAAATTTCCAATTATGAGATTTTCTAGCGTTAAGTTTGATTTCTAGAAATACAGAATAGTGAAAATTCTGCTGTAATTTTTCAGAAATGGCAACTGTCTCTGATGCTGCTACTGCTGCTGCTAATGTTGGTGGGGATCCGAACCCCGGGGCGACTGGCTTGCCAACCCCTGCTGTGATCTTTGTGGTCAATCCTCCTATTGTTACTCCGGCTATTCTGGGAGGACCGCTCAATCATCACGAGCGCCCGGAGAAGTTTACGGGAGTGAATTTCAAGAGATGGCAGCAGAAGATGCTGTTTTATTTGACTACTCTAAGCCTTGCGAGGTTTTCTGAGTGAAGATGTACCAACCGTAGAGGAGAATGAGTAAGATAAACAAAAGCTCATGGCTCTGGACGCCTGGAAACAAGCAGATTTCTTATGCCAGAATTACATTCTGAACGGCTTGACGGATCCGCTTTTCAACGTGTTCTATGCCAAGAAATCGGCTAAGGCATTGTGGGATGCCTTGGACAAAAAGTACAAGACCGAGGATGCTGGGGTAAAGAAATTTATCGTCAGCCGGTTCCTGGACTTCAAGATGGTGGACTCTAAAACTGTCCTGAGTCAGGTCCAAGAGTTCCAAGTGATTCTGCACGAGATACATGCAGAAGGGATGGTCCTAAGTGAGTCATTCCAGGCAGCTGCTTTGATTGAGAAGCTGCCTAACGGTTAGAAAGACTTTAAGAACTACTTAAAGCACAAACGAAAGGAGATGACAGTCGAAGAGCTCATTGTCAGGCTCCGGATTGAAGAGGACAACAGGAAGAAATGAGGGAGTACCTCCACTGTCAAAGCCAACATGGTTGAGCATGGCGAGTCCTCGGGGGCGAGGAAAAAACCACCGACAGGCAAAAGCTCAAAGTTGGGGGCTAGAGGAGGAATCTCCAAAAGGCCAGCCTATAAGCCAAAGGAGCCTACTTTTAGGTTCGATGGCAAATGCTTCAACTGTGGAAGTGACGGGCATCGGGCAGTTGATTGTCTGAAGAAGAAGCCCTACAGGAAAAACCCTCCCCAACACAAAAACCGGGCACATATGGCTGAAATGGAGGAATTGTCACACGATGTGGACGACATGCATCTGTCAGCCATCGTGTCAAAAGTGAACATGGTGGGGTCAAACCCGAGGGAGTGGTGGGTGGACACTGGGGCCACTCGCCATATTTGTGCAGAGAAGAGAATGTTCACAACTTTCGAACCGGTTTCAAACGGGGAGAAGTTGTTTATGGGAAACTCTGCAACCTCAGCTGTTGAGGGTAAAGGCAAGGTGATCCTGAAGATGACTTCAGGAAAAGAACTGACTTTGAACGATGTCCTTTTTGTGCCGGACATTCGTAAGAACCTTGTCTCGGGGTCTCTTCTAAGCAAGCATGGCTTCCGCATGGTGTTTGAATCAGACAAAGTCGTGTTGACCAAGGGCGGGGTCTATGTGGGGAAGGGATATATGTCAGGTGATATGTTTAAATTGAATGTAATGACACTTATCCCTAAGATTAATGAGAAAGCTTCTTCTTCTGCTTATATGCTTGAGTCCCCTAATTTATGGCATGGTAGATTGGGTCATGTAAATTTTGACTCTTTACGTAGATTAATCAAGTTAGATCACATACCATCTTTCAAGATTAATCCACAACACAAGTGTGAAACTTGTGTAGAAGCAAAATTGACAAGGTCTTCTTTTCATTCTATTGAAAGAAGTACCCAGCCTTTGGGTTTAGTGCATAGTGATGTGTGTGACTTGAAAGTTGTACAATCACGTGGTGGCAACAAGTACTTCATCACTTTTGTTGATGACTGCACTAAATACTATTATGTGTATTTGCTTAAAAGCAAAGACGAGGCTATTAATAAATTTATTCTTTTTAAGAATGAAATTGAGAATCAATTAAGCCGGAAAATCAAGGCATTGAGAAGTGATCGTGGTGGTGACTATGAATCCCCGTAAAGTGGCGGTACCTACACCCAAGCGTGTTAGGATAGGTCCGAAAACTGTGGACTGTATTTTCATTGGTTATGCACAAAATAGTAGTGCATATAGATTTCTTGTGCACAAGTCTGATATTTCAGATATACACAAGAATACTATAATGGAATCTAGAAGTGCATCTTTCTTTGAAGATGTATTTCCGTGTCATCCCCAAGACAGGGTTCCGAGTTCTATGAAAGAAATAGATGATCACGAAGACGATCACATAGATGATCACATGGATGATCAAGCAGCTGATCAAATAACTGATCAAGTAGATGATCAAGCTGATGAAGTAGATGAGCCAAGAAGGAGTAAAAAGGCTAGAACCACAAAGTCTTTTGGTCCAGACTTCTTGACTTATATGTTAGAGGGAGAACCTCGAACGTTCCATGAAGCTGTGACTTCACCTGAAAGTCCTTTATGGAAAGAAGCAATTAAGAGTGAGATTGACTCCATCTTACAGGACCATACTTGGGAGTTGGTTGATCTACCCCCAGGCAGTAAGGCCTTGGGGAGTAAGTGGATCTTTCGAAGAAAGATGAAAGCGGATGGGTCAATTGACAAATATAAAGCTCGGCTAGTTATCAAAGGATACAGACAGCGAGAAGGCCTGGATAACTTTGATACGTATTCACCTGTGACAAGGATTACATCCATTCGCATGGTGATTGCAATAGCAGCTTTACGTGGTTTAGAAATACATCAAATGGATGTAAAGACAGCTTTCTTAA